AACGCTTTAACCATACAGAAGCACTGCTTACCTGCTCCTGTGGGGAGGCAAAGGAGGCAGACCACCTAGTCTACTGCCGAAAGACCTTAGCGAGGAGGCTTCAGTGGCCCACCCTCCACCCCTCTAGTCCACAGGAGCCTATAGGACCAATAGGATCTCTGGATCGATACTACAAGGGGCTAATCACTGATCATGAAGGCTTCCAGGCCTTTCTCTGCGTGACAGATTTCTTCCGGAAGATCTGCCCGCGGTACTAGGGCCTAGGTCTGAACCTAGGCCTTAGTAACGAACCCCCCCCCCCTCGTAGAGGAACTGACGAGTATAACGGAACCAGGGAACCAGCGGGAACTAGGGACGGATAGAACACATAGTAGCCTATGGGCAAGATTTGGAGGACGTTAGGAAGAGGCGTGTACTGTAGAGTATATAGCTTGAGCCTGCGGCCCTCCACGCCATATACCCCTCGGGAGGTCGGCCGCAAGGGCGGCTGCGCCCTTGCCGCCACGGCGTTAAATACAACAACAACAACAACAACAACAACACTGCGATAGACGCAGCTGAGACGAAACGCAACGGTTGTTCGGTCTGTTTCCAAACGGACGATATCTGGATTGAGCTGCAATGGGCGGCGAATGCTAGCAAGATGGTGGCTTTAATGCGACAGATAGGGAAGAAGGGTGGAAGAAATTATTAACAAGATATGGGGAGGAAGAAGGGCACGTGGTTACTCCATGAACGAGGGTACTGAGATTGGAAAGGCAAAAATGAATGCAGTTTGAGGGTAGTGTTCCCAGACTGAAAAGTGCAAACGTCATGTTCAGCGACGGTAGAATAAATAAGCCAGAAGTAGCGATCAGGCTTAGCATGCTTCTGGGTATTATTGACGTGTCTTTTGCTGCAAATCTGTATAGGTGTAAGACTGTGGTAGGGAGTGAGGACGTCGTATGAGTGTAGATCGGTTTCTACCGATTTCATTGGCCACGAAATGGTGTGAATGGTATCACGACCCACCGCAGCTACATAAGGTTCTTATCCGGTTAAGGTGTCGGCTCCTTCGGGAACAGAACGGTGTCGGGAGTTGTTTGATTGAGTGGGTTTCGAAAACCGTACGTGACGAATGAAAATGGTTAAAAGGAGCGGCTGCGGCTGAGACGTTGGAGATTGTGAACATGGGATAGTGATCCCTGAGAGCTTGGCTGGAGGGGCAGCAAAAGCAATAACTGGGAACCATTTCGGGCCAATCATTTCGGTCATATCTCAGGAAGAGAAAAGTGGAAAGACACGGCTCTTTTGGGGTGGTCTGCACACCTACGCCACCATATTCAACACCAATTAATCCATCTCGTCTTTTCGCAAATGGTTCTTCATCCTAGTTTTATCCATTAATTACTATAATACACTACACCTATGCACTGCTGCCAACTCATTCTCCGCGGTTTCAAGCGTATGTGAGAATAGACTACGGCACATATGTGTGGTGGCGTTACTTAGCTTCAATCTGGGGCTTTTGGATGGCTTTTCGCATATCCTCTGCGTGCTGAGGTTATCGTAAAGCAGGTTGCTAATCTCTATGAACCTCTCAGTATACTATAGCGATGACCTGATGTACCTCGCCACACTGCGGAGATTCCTCACTAGACCCCTCTTCCTCTACATTCCTCAATCCTCTTCGGCGTTGCGAATTTCAATTTAACGATTGGAACTCTGCTGGGGCGTCGCTTGATGAATACTACGAGGATAGGGCCGCACCTATCATACTAACTGCGTAGCCAACGGATTAAATACACCGCTATTCTTAACCTTTTTCGATAGAACATTATAACATAGACGGATAGAGAGGGCCTTCAGACAGGCACTGTTGTTGCTAGCGATGTGGAATATTACTGCCACCCTAACTCGTTCTAGTGTCCTGATATTGTGGACAGGTAAACTTACCTCATCGTAAGAACGAAGTTCTTTTCGACCTAGGCACTAGGTTAACAGTAGAAAATTCATTGTATGATATTCGGTTGACTCGATTGTTAATGAGGTGACGTATTAAGATAGTAGTTGCATAACTGTTAGGCGAGATCTACATATTAAACAAGAAGTAACTCTATCTGGATATATCCTATGTCCTTCTTCTCACGACCAATCGCAAGCTACATTCAAGAGGGTCTTCAATCACTGTAGCATGATGGTTCTGATGATCGACAAAGTCTATACAATAACGATATTATACTACAACTTCATATAGAAGGGTTGCTATGCTCACGAATCCCTTTCTCCTGCTGTAGGGGTCGTACATGACAGCTCTGGTGAGTAAGGTACAGGTGTTATGGGAATCTGTGACTTGAACGAGACGGACGACTGCGAGGACCCGGGTCCAGGTGAATGGCAATCGCCTTGTGCAAAGGAGGTAGTGGTGCAAAATAGTTCAGGAGAGGCCTTGACGCATTCTCGGAAAGGGAGGGAAGGGCATTCTGCAGTGTCAAGAGCTTTACCTAACCTGTTAGCAAGTCCATTTTTAATATGAACTCTAATGTGAGTTACAAAAACATAGCAAGAATGCATTACACATACCATTTATTTGCATCATTGCTCTAGGAAGAGCTTCGCTGTCCCTGGACGGTGGGTAAATGTGAGGGATTGTCGACGAAGATATCTTGTTGATGGGATGAGATAAAGTAGATGGCGAAGTAGTGGGACCTACGCCGGCGGCAGGAGACGTGGGACCTGCAGGGGCTGGTTTGGAGATATCTTTCGAAAACGATAAACCAGGGCCGGAGTCTGTGCCGGTGCCATTTCGTGCACTATCGACAGGCGTTTCGGGTTCAGGTGAGGAAAAAGAAGAATATTTTGGATAGATGTAGTCGAGGGATAGGTGACGAATGTGACGGGAGGGGGAGAAAGATGGGTCTGGTGAAACTCTGGGAAGTGGTTTTTGTCCAGACGGTGGGGTCGCAGTGGGAGGACTAGCCTGAGGCTTCCGCGACCGACCGCGTCGGAGCTTCACATGATGACCAGTTTGCTCCAGCGGAGGACGCTTTCGAGGCCGACCACGTCCACGCTTCGGCTGAGGCGTATCTTCGGGCCTCAATGGATGCTTCCGCGGACGACCCCGGCCACGCTTCAGCGTCCCCTCTGAGGTGCCTGTCATGGTGATGTTGATGTATGGATTTAGGAAGGGATGCTTGATATTACTGATAAAAAAAGTGAAGGTTGATGTGGAATTAGGATCACATCTTCATCAGAGGAATGTACTACTTTATATAGAAGAAATAAAGGCAGTAGAACTTGAGATAGTCCATTCAATACAAGGCTTAAAGTCACGGATTTCTAGGGTGAGACCACGGTTAGGTTAGTGTGATGATTTACATCCGGAACGGAGACCGCATACGTGGGTTAGCCAATAAAAACGGTAACTTGATCACAACACCGAAAATGATTATGCGGGTTTCAGTGTGGGTCAAATAATACCACAACTATTGGTTAGACATACCTAGAGAACGTGAGGGGAACAAGGATTATGGGACTGTGGTGTAGCTAACAGGTTCTATGAGTACCTGTAGAGGAGTTTAGGTGGGCAATCTCTGTGTAAGTATATTGGACTTACTGCGTCGGTCTAGTTCGTGCGATATCAATTATGAGATAGATGGAAAAAATCTAGAAAAAACAATGGAAGATGTAGTTTGTAGTCATCATGTAGCTGAAGCTCTCTAAAAGCGTGCATCGCAGACATCAGGACGTCGAGTACTGGAGTTCATACGATTGGAATTATCATGAACATAGATACATGTATCTAGGGCTATTATGCAGGTACATAATGACTTGTTAATGCCTGGGCTGAAGGGGTATTATAACCGTTTCTAAGGTGGGAATCTGGTTACTGTGCTGGATTGCGTGATTCGAGTTAAGAAATGAATGTGTGATTACGTACAAGGTCACTTGTGAGAAGGAAATGTATCTCAAGGACCGTTTTTACTATAGGCGAACCATTTTTTTGGTGTTGTACCTTTTCTGATAAGAAACCAGGACCGTGCGCAGATTTTTTCGACCAATCCTGACCAATTGTCAAACCAAATTTGGTTTAGGGATTAGACTCCTAACTGTTAGGCTCAGGGTTATACTATATATAAGTCTAATCCTAAACATATTCCTTTATACCTTAGGTCGATCTGGATCATTCCGATCCAGAATGATCGTTTAGCCCCTAAGTCGTGTTGGATCATATTGATCCAATATGATCGTTATCTTATCGTCACATGACTTGGACTATAGTTCTTCTGTTACCGAGTGAGTCCCTGTTGTTCCTGTGATCCTGCAGTACAAATGTCCTGTCCTAGCCGCCCGACGCCCAAGTGGGGTCGGTCAACTGTTATCCATGCATAACAGGTCGTAACACTAGGTTTATATTTAAAGCGTGAGATATATAGATAGAGTGTTAAAGTTAAGCTAATAGTTAATTCATATTGCCTTCAGTAGGTAGCTATATAGATCAGTCTTATATACACTATAACAGTATACTTCCTAGCGCTCACACGCATATCGGCTGTGCATAACGCCTGGCAGATGCTTGCAGAGATAGTCTCACATAGCTTGATGAACATGCTGGAGCAGCCTGATACTTTAACAGATGATGAAGTGAAGGAGCTGGCCTGGGAGTAGCTTGGCAAGGAGACGGCAGCGGGAGATGGGCTTTTGAGATATCGAGGCGGGCGGGTTGGCTTTGAGTCTATCTGATAAGACCTCCATTGGAAACGTATTTTAAATCTTAGAAAGCATACTGTTCTTAAACCAGTCCAGTTCGGAGTGATGTGCCACGCTCGTTTTTCCGCCTAGCTCATTTCTGTGCTTAACCTGTTGCTCAATGCGCGCCTTGCCCTTCCAGCCCCATGCTTCGTCTTTTTCCGTTCCGTTGCTTTGACCTTTGAGAACGTTACATATGTACTGGCCGACAATAGGCATAAATCTTTCACACATTATAATCAATCTCTGAGTCTTATTACACAAAAGATAACTCACTTGTAGCTACTAAAGTTCCCCCCAGCCGCGATATGCAAATTCTGAAGCTGTGCGTGTGGATGTCTGGATAGCAGCCAGTCGCCCGTCGGTGTCGCAGCATCCCAGCATATCCGCCATCGGTCTGGCTTCCGCTGTGATACGAAGGCTGGCATCATTGCCTTCAGTAAGCTGTCCATCTCCTTTTGAAGCTTTTCTGGGATATTGTTTTGGCCCCGTAACTCGGGGACAGAGATCCGCTGGCCGGAAGACGTCGTTTGGGTATTAACGAACTCTGTGCGCAGGTCGTTGATCTTCAATATGCGATTGTCGGGAGAAGGTGGAGTCAAAATCCCCCAGCCTTTGTAGACCAAGATGGGCAAGTTGTCTGCACACATCATTTGCGTCTCTTGCGATGTCAGCGTGTAGTAGGCCGACAACCTCCCCACTGCTTTCAACTGTCGCTCAATGCGGTCATCGACCGCGACATCGAGAGTGTCTTCAATCGGCGCGAGAAGTTTGCTCGTCCAGGCGCCGGTTGCCAGTACAATTTTGTCGGCTGTTATTTGGTTTCCGTCTGCTGTACGGACACCTATCACTCTCGTTCTTCCTGTGTCGAGTTGGAGTTCCTCAACGTCGGCAGTCACTTTCTGCACGCCTCTTCTCTCAGCAGCTGCCATGAAGCTCGAGGTAGCAGACGCAGCATCGCACCATCCGGCTTCCGGATTAAGGTAAGCGTCGCCCACCTCAGCAGTGTCTATTCCCTGGAACAATTTCCAAGTGTTCCCCACGCTGGATACATCCACGTCCCTAGTATAGTCCGAGCCTCGCAGTCGAAACGTCCGTCGGACAGCTGCCGTAAACTCGCTGTTTTTCTCATCAATGACCACCCAACCCGTTTTGTGAAAATGATGGCCCAAGTCAATGTCCCAAAACCAAGGATGGATGGCTTCGTTGGCGAGATTACAGTACAAGGGGCTCACGTAGTCTGTACGAATGATGCGGTTGACGTCTATAGCGGCTGCAGGGCTGGGGCCCGGGGACGAGGCGTTCCAGCGGTCGATTACGGTAATTCGGCTTGGGTTATCGTAAGACTTTGCCAGGTGATACGCAGTGGATGTGCCGAAGGTTCCAGCACCCACAATGAGAACGGTAGGCTCAGTCATGCCTAAAGTTCGTGCCTGGAGTACTGAAGTACTATAGTATGAGAACAAAGATGACGTCGCATGAGGAAATCCCACGCTGGAAAGCTGCCATAACTTTATAATTCCCAGGTCGTACACAACTCTCGGAAATGCGGCATTCGGCTTCTCAGATTCAAGGTCAATGGCGTCTTCCCCGCGTTTGAACCATGAGATCTCCCGGCGTCCCCGCAGGAAGATCGCGGGGTCAGTCCCTGAGCATCCAGTACGGATGCGGCGGGGTAGCCTTGGAAAGACACTATTGAGTCTGTGTGAAAGTTAGTGAAACCTCATTGCTATCGCGGTAACCTTAACAATAGGCAAACTGCCGATTGTCAACGACATGTATCCTTGTAACTGTGTCACTTTGGATCATAAGATGAACCTCAGCTACGTACCACTGTTAGACGTCTCCAGCCGGATAACTAAGCTAGTAAAAATCCATGTTATCGCTTGGCGTTCGCAAGAGGCTTTATCTCTAAAACATTGAAATTTCTGGTCATGTAATAAGCAGCCTAAGTCATTACAAAACATTAAAGGTCGATTTGACGTGATATTAGTTGGTTAAGATGAGTTTTCGTTTCTTCGTCGTCCTAACACCCTATGTATTAGATATTGACCCTTCCTCTCTGGTAACTACTAAGTCCACACTCCTTTTAGAGTACCTATTATTCTGTGGCATTTGCTCTGATAACCGTTTAACTAAAGGGTGTACTTTATATTCATAATACTTAAGTAATATTATATAGCAAAAGCACCAGTGCAAGGGATTGCTTCATTCATAGTGGATCACATTCAAATTATGCTATGTGACGGGTGAACATTTCGCAGACGTAGCTCGCACGAACCAGGATTTGTCTTTGGACCAGACACGGTGTAGAAATCCGCGCCTGGTATTTTTGTCATAACAGTGCCCTAACCATTAGTTTTCCAAGCCCGAGTTGACTCCCTAAGTAAGCAGCAGAACAGCGCATCTAACCTAGTTGGGTCTTCATGTGATGGGAGCTGAGTTTCATATCACTCATAGTAGCATTTTAGAAAGCCAGGGCGGTGAGCCTTCGTGTCTGAATACAATGTAATCAGGCATACGATTATCGTGCCTGAGATTGCCACTTCTCGCGCAGTGACGTGGCTGTGTCCGTCCGCCGCTGACAGAAGCCCAAGTCCTCGTAGTATTGCCACGTATCCCGCCTCAAAGTGTATTATTTCTATCAAAGAATTGCTACGTTCTCAAGGTGACGCGCGGCCGCAGATGTGTCTACTGCATACGAACTTACCTGCATGTATTGTCTGATATTAATTTAGAAAATGGCATGGCGGTGGATAGTATCTCTCTCCGGATGACCAAATCAATGTCGGCACCGTTTATCAAGACAGGGCGATCTGCATGTGTGATTTCTTACCGCAGAAGAGTCATTTCCCCGTTTCCTTTATCGCTCACGGTTTACTTGTCAGCCTGTACTAACCCGTCTGATTCTCAGTCCATTTCGGGTAATTCTGCTCGTCTCGTCATGCATGTGGTCATCCTCGGCCCGTTCACCGGTTACGTGTTTGGAATTGGGCGTTGCATTCGATAGGGAATCATGCAAGACGTTCGACTTTATTGATCCATTCACAGGCTAAGACGGTTTTAATTGGACTCGTCAACTCTTGGTTAATATAGAACTGCAGGCTCCGTACATCTCAATCTGCATGTAAGCGCCCTCGGCCCTTCGTGATATCTTGATGTGACCTCAACAGTTGAGACGCACCATTCATCCGCCGTAAATTATATTCTCATACCTGACAAAATACACAGGTCAGGGTCTGTGATTACTGCATTGTCGATCTCGACGGACGAGCTCGGGATGACTGCATGCGCGTACCCAATGAGGGCCCATGAGTGGGGAGTTAGGTAGCCTCGTTAGACCGCTGTCTGATAACGGCATTGGAACCTTGTGTCGGGATCAGAGTGCCCGTCTGCCATAAGCCTCCAGCGCCCCTATGTATCATCATGCGAAAAGTCTTTGGAGAGAAGGTCTCTGAACAACCACACAGATTGTTGCTTCCATCCTCTCAGCCGTAGAGATGGCCCCGCCGAAAAAGAGAATCATTTTCCTGACAAACAGTGACTATAGACAAGCTAACGTTATTCTATCCGTCGCCCATGCTCTGGTTCCTAAGTCTCAGGATCTCGAGGTTCACATTGCATCGCAGGCTCGTTTGAAGGGACCGACATCCCGCCTAGTCAAACAGCTGACTGCGGACCTCGGCTCAGCGGCGGTGGACGCCGTCAAGTTTCACGAGGTGGCTGGTTTGTCACATTTCGACTCTGTCGATAGACCTGGAAAGACTACGATGGAAACTTGGCTGGTGAACCCAAACTTCAGCAATGTCACTCGCAATATGCTCAACATTGCCGACCTTGCTCTTCCATGGAGCCCCGAAGAGTTTGTGGAGATCTATCGGGATCTCGAGCGCATTTGGAACGACGTTAAGCCAGATGTCACAGTTGCACAGGCATTCTTCGCGCCGGCACTCACCTTTTGCAACCGCATCAAGATGAATTGGATTGTACTTGCTCTAAACACGATCAAGGACTTTGCTCTGCCACTTCAGCCAAAGATGGCAATGCTGTGGAAGTATCCTGTGTAGTAATCATCTTTCATGCTTCTGCATGCATTCTAACGACGTTGGCGTGAAGCATATGCTCGAGCTTGCCGTTCCCAGTCCCACTACACCTCATTCCTTTCAATGTTTTCTACAACGTGTTGGCTGGCGTGACAGTCTCAACCAATAAGCGGCACACTAGAGTCCCTGGGTATCTGCATAAGGTCATTGGTCCGGACACTCAACTCTTGACGATGAACCAACTTGGTTTGGTAAAGGCACCCCCCGAGGGTCTTCGTCTTCTCGTGGCCAATAGCCCAGACATCGACTTCCCTTTCGAAGTGCTCGCGGAGTTCATTACCCCTTGCGGCCCCATTACTCGCGCTGCTCCAACAATATCAGATACCACACAGGATCCCGAAACGTCAAGTTGGCTTAGCAGAGGCCCGACAGTCTGCATGAACCTAGGCACGCATCACTTCTTTGACGTTCCATAAAGCCAAAGAAGTAGCCCTAGTATTCCGTCGCCTATTCGATCTTGCCAAATGTTCCGAGCCCTTGGGCCAGGGCAACTTGCAGGTTCTATGGAAGATGCCTCGGAAGACTTCAGACGGAGATGATACCGATCCCTCAAGCACCGATTTCCTGGGTCCTTGGAAGGAGATCAAATCTATTCTGAGCCCAGAAATGGACAACGATCAAATCCGCATCTTAGACTGGATCATCGCCGAGCCGAAGTCTGTCCTTGAGTCAGGAAACGTGGTCTTGTCAGTGAATCATGGCGGCTCGAACTCATTCCATGAAGCATTGTGGTGAGTCTTGTTCAATCCCCGATGCATAACACTTCCAGTTGGGATAGCTGGCTAATGCTTGCAAATATAGCACCGGTATACCCCAGGCTGTTTTACCTGGGTGGCCAGATTGCTACGACTTCGCTCAGCGTGCTAAGATTCTTGGCATAGGGAAATGGGCCAACCGTAAGGCGAAGCCACACTGGAATGTGGAAAGGAGAATCGTAATGTAACTCAACGGATTTTCAATCCAACGCTGGTTGTATTATCAAGAAACGAAGCACTTTCTAAATATGAACCAATTCGGATGCTGGTTTCACGGACGATGACCGTCAGCGTTTGGCATGAGCACGTCTATTCGGAATGGCTTTGACAGGCCGGAAGCCATGGCTGCGAACGTCTATCAACGCGCGCCAGTTATCCCACACATTACTGCCCATATATGCGCCTGGCGATATTCATACAATATCATGTCGCTGATGTGCAGGCTTACAATACGATGCCAATGGTCACATTGTGAATGTTGTGTCTCCCATATTCTGGAGATTTTGTGGTGATCGTGAGCTGTTTAAGCTACGGCTTCGTATCCCGAGCGGGTGTTGTGTGCGGCGCGATTCGAGAACAGCCAGTAGATGATCATGCCGATGATGGGGAAGAGGAAGACTACCAGACACCACAGGACCTTGTGGCTCACGGGACGGTTGGACTTCAGAACCTCGACTGGGAAGGTAGTTGTGAGTATATTGATCGACCTGTATCAAAGACGCAGGTGGAATAACTTACTGAAGACAATGATATCCAGGACAAGCACAATGAATCCAATCACACCACCACCCGTTCCATATTGCCAGCTGTTCTGCGAAGTTGTGGACAGGGTAGGGTCAAGAGGGGCGGCTGCTACCAGCAAGGCGAAACAGAGCTGGAGGAAGAGGCTCGGGGAGAAGACGGTCTGAAACATCGTGTCGGTTGACCTTGATCTGAGTTATTGGGATTTTCTGTCGTTTCTGGGGTCGAGTATTGGCTGTGAAGGCGGGGTAAAGGCGAGAGATGTGGTGTGCAGCTCGTGTCGAGTTGAATGTTGCAGAACAACGCGTTTAATACCAGGCGGCCGCTGAGCTGCTCGTGACGTCATACGCTGGCGTTGCGCGTTGTCGTCTGACCAGCCTGTTCTGTGCGCTAGCCCCAGCCAGGCATCCTGTACCACAGCGCAACGGCCGGTGATAGGCGGAAAACGCTCTGCTGACCCAGCCCCCGACGGCCTTGGCTGCAAAGTGCGTCAACCGTGCAGGCAGGTCTCAGTGACGTACCTTGGCATTTCGACCAAGCAAGATCGAGATGGAGGCACTCCGATCCAACGGGGAGCACAGCAAAGGTTCAACGGGCAAGGAGTGGAAGCATTAAATAATAAAAATAAAGTCAATTTCATTATTAAGATTATGATAAAAGATTGTCGTTATGAAAGATTGTCGTTAGTGGCTTCTCGTCGATGCGTTATTCCTAACACCAGCCTATTATGTCTCAGCCTAATTCCCATATTAATCTTCCATCCACATTAATTTCTTGAGTCGTTGCCGAGAGAATAAAGTCTCATTATGTTGCGTTCAGAAGTTTTGCTTTGCTGATTGTTCGATTAGACGCCGTAAACGGTGACTTGGGCCCGGATGAGTCCCTGAAGAAGGTCGGTAACCTGTTGAAGAGTGGACTGGATTGTAGGCTGCACTCGCTGGAGAATAATGCTGACTGCACCGAGGAGGTTGCCGTTGTTGTTGAGGGTAGTTGAGAGCCAGTTTTGGACAGTGCTGACCGGAGTGGCGGTGCTGCCGGTGCTGCCGGTGCTGCCGGTGCTGCCGACCAAGCTCCCGCCGAGAAGGTTCTGTACCAACCCAAGAAGACCACTTCCCGATGCCGTAGTAATCGCGGGCTGGGCGGCCTGCAATTGCCCCAACACCTGGGGTAACAGAGCCTGGTAGGTGGTGAGAGCGCTGGCAACCTGAGCAGCTTGGGCTTGCGGAAGAGTGATGCCTTGGCTGTTAAGAGTGGCAAGCTGGCTCAAAGCAGTGGTGTATGCAGTCTGAAGACCACCGTTCCCAGTGAGCGATTGCAGAACAGGTCCAAGGACTCTGTTGAGTAAATCGTTGACATTGCTTCCAGTACCAGTGGCCTGGGATTGCAAGTTTGCCGAGTTGAGCCCGGTAAGGCTGACGTTCAACTTAAGAAGCTCGTTGTTTACAGCTCCCAAACTCTGCACCAATGAGTTGGCCGTTGGGCCAGTGCCGAAGAGACCATTAAGGATAGAAAGCGGGAGTGCTGAGGTTGCAGTGGCAGATGCAAAGATGGCGAGGACGTTGGTGAAACGCATTTTGAAGTATTCGGCGGTTATTTCGAGTGTTTCTGGGCCAAAAAAGATCGGAGTCAAAAGTGTCAGGGTAAGATAGTGCAAAAGCTTGGATGTGATGATTTGTTGGTGTTGAGTTGATTGGATTGTGGTGCAATAAAAGATTTTTTGGAGTGAAGCATTTGGTCGCTATTTATTATTTTTCGCTTAATGTATGTTGTCTCCAAGTCGCTGCCATCGTCACATTTGCCATTGAAGCCTTCGCCGCAATGTCTCGCCGTGTCTCACTTGTCACTGAATCACTTCAGCGTTGGGATTTCTTACCCTGAGTTTACCGACTACTCGGTTGCTGTTTCTGGGCTGGAGGGGCCTTTTTTCCTACGCAAGAGGCGGCCCGATTGGGGTCTTCACCGTTTTCAGATTACAGCCAAGGGATTGAGACCCGCATTCAGCCATCCGTAAAGCAAAGTCGAGGTGTGGAGTATCCGACCCATAGACAGGACTTAGCGTTGAATTGAGTCTGGACCTGTCTAGGCAGATGAGAGATTCCAGGTCGGGGTCTTCTCCCCCCGTTGTTCGTTTGTCGTTGGGGTCTCAGCCTGCCGTTTTCGTTTTCCAGCCCACCGCCTCGATCCTTCGGCCCGCGAGGGTTTGGCTCCCGATGCAAGTCAACGCTAATAGTAATTTGCCTCTGCCGTCATTGGGGCTAACGAGATGCTGCTAGTTTGCCAACAAGAAAGCCGTCGGATCCGTCAAGTGATTGAAGGCGATATCATCACGCAACTGGCTTTGGACTCCCAGAGCCGCAAAGCCAAACTCTCTTTGTTGATAACTCGGCAGAGCGACTTGAAAATGCTTTGCGACTCTTATTACCGTCTTCGTCCATCCATCTTGGCTCTTTCGACAATTTGATAATATGCCATTACGCAAATCCATTCTGCATTCAGACAGGTGCCAGCTATCACATTGACTCGAAAGATCCACTTTCGAGCAAAAGATTGCTGTGCTTGGCATAGTCGTCTATTAGCTGAACTCCAGCGTAGACTGTGCTGTGTCCACGTCAGCAGACGGCGATGTCATTCATGGATATCTAGGTCTTCCCCAAAAGGTCTCTATGAAGACCCCATGCCGGGCCGGACCACCATCATTCTCATTTTCGTGAGATTAGTCACACTCAGTTATTGCTAGCAACATGGTGGACGTTTAGCTGGTGCTTTATATCGTTTTTCACCATCCTACGCACCAAGTCGTCAATTTCTTGAGCTGTACTGAGCTCTTTGGCATTCCAATGGGTCAAATTAAGTTGCAGTTCCTCAATGGATGTGGAACATAGACTGAAGATGAACTTCTACAACCCGAGGCCTCGCAACCACTCAAATACCAACAGGAACCGTGCGGTCGAATACAAACATATGCGCTGCAACGATGAGAGCCCCAAATGCTTCGCATGCACAGATGGCTGGACGGGATGCTTTCGCGCAACTAGGAAGCTACTCTGGCTATCTTGTCTCCCAAGGGGTCATGCTGGTAAGACGCTCAAGACTTCAAAATATGCACACGACAAAAGCCCCGGTGAAGTGAAGATAGTTGGTTTTCACATGACCTGCTCTTTGTATTACATTAGATTATATTAAGCAATAGCTTTTCTCAGTGTGTCCATGAATCTCCACACATCGTGGAATGTGCAGTAGAGAGGCACTGGAGCCACACGAATGACGCCCGGCTTTCTCTTATCACACACCACGCCCGCGGTCGCAAATTCATCGACTAAACGATCCAACAGCCCGTCCTTGAGCAGTACGCTAAGCTGCGCACCTCTCTCATGTGCATTACGTGGCGTAATGACGCGGAATGATGGCTCACTTCCGGTGTCGTCCGCGAGAATACCATCAAGTAGGTGCTCTGCATATGCCGTAAGA